ACTTTGAAAGCTTTCTTCTAGTGAATAAAGCCTGTCGTTATGTCTTTCCCATCCACAGTGCTTTTCTGTTATTTATATATCTTCTTTTTTTTTTTGGCCAGTGTTGGGGCTTAACCTCCAGGCCTGGGTTCTGTCCCTGAGCTTCTTTTTGCTCAAGGATCTACCACTGCCCTGGCTGGCTTTGAACTAGGATCTTCAGATCTCAGCCTCCTGAGTAGCTAAGATTACAGGCATGAGCCACTGGTCCCTATGTAGAGTAATCTTTTAGTCATAGAAACACTATGATTTAAAAGATAAAAGTAGATAGGGGCTGGGAAGGTGGCTCAGTGGTAGAGCGCTTGCCTAGCATGCATGAGGCCCTGGGTTTGATTCCTCAGCACCACATAAGCAGAAAAAAAAAAGCCAGAAGTGGCGCTGTGGCTCAAGTGGTAGAGCACTCACCTTGAGCTGAAGAACTGAGGGACAGCGCCCAGGCCCAGAGTTCAGGCCCCACGACCGGACCCAAAAAAAAAAGATCGTAGATAAAAATAAGTTATTTCCTTGGAAAAAACAAGAAAAAAAAACTACAAGAAAACAAATAGTTAACTGGCAGAGGTAAATAAAGGTCTCATATTGACTTAAACCATATTTATAATATGCCAAGTCAGGTACTTAATCCTTCCAATGACCAGTATCGAAAATAAATTACTGTGGGAGTGAAGGGCTTTGAAAGGCTCCCCTGACTGGGATGGGTGGATGGTGTGCTCCCTTTGTTAAGACTTACTGCATCTGTGCCTCTGCTCTGGCGCATGGGTCTCCTTCAGGCTAAATGCGTGATGAAAGCACTTGCGAAGCCTGATGTGTTGTCTGAATGTGGGAACATGTACAGCATGGCTTCACATCATTTCCTAGGGGGAGATCAACCTTCATTACAAAGCCCCCCTACCACTCAGCACCACAGTCACTGGAGCAGTGCTTGTGATTTCTCTCCTCTCACTTCAGCATCTGCTCCTAATCACAGTGTTGTAATCAAAGATGTCAAAAGAGAAGTTTCTCAAACCCACATATGAGAACTACCTGAAGATTTTTTTTTGGGGGGGGGGTCTGGTCGTCGGGCCTGAACTCTGGGCCTGGGCACTGTCCCTCAGCTCTTCAGCTCAAGGCTAGCGCTCTACCACTTGAGCCACAGCGCCACTTCTGGCTTTTTTTTTTCTGCTTATGTGGTGCTGAGGAATCAAACCCAGGGCCTCATGTATGCAAGGCAAGCGCTCTGCCACTGAGCCACCTTCCCAGCCCCCTCTAAACCTTTTCAAAACATGTCTTGAAATTCTTTTTCAATATAGTTAAGGTAGTTACAGAGCTTAATCCTGTCTTTCCAAGTGAAGGAACAAAGAGTCTAGGGTTGCTATTAAGCAAAAAATTTCCTAATCAATCCTACATTATTAACTCCTTGTGAATTAAGAGATCTCCTGATGCACTTTTCAGGTAAAAAATCTGTACCCACTCAAACTCTTTTGGTTTTGTCTAAGAATCACATTTCATACATAGGGCTAATAAGTTTGCATAGCAGGTTTTTTTGTGTGCTGGTCCTGGGGCTTGAAGTCAGAGCCTGGGTGCTAACTCTTACCCTTTTTCATTCAAGGCTGATGCTCTACCACATAAGCCACAACTCCACTTCTGCCCAGGCTGGCTTTGAACTGAGATTCCCAAATTATCAGCCTCCCGAGTAGCTAGAATTATAGGCATGAGCCTTGGGTGTTTGGCTGGAGTTCATAAATAAGTCCTGATTTCATTCAGCCCTTAGGGTGGCCATGTCTGAACTTTCCATTACTGTAACAAATATTCAAAGTACCTCAGCTTAGAGACGTAAAGGTTTATTGGGCCTTGCAGCTTTGGAGGTTTTGGCTGATAGTTAATTCTCTTCCTTCCTGCACAGCTGTGTCCAACTCAGGGAGAGGCCAGTGCCTGAAACGCATTCGCTACCACGGCAGAGGTCGCTGTGGCATCATGGAGAAGGTTTACTGCCATTACTTTGTGAAGCTGGTGGAAGGGCCCCCACCCCCACGCGAGGCCCCCAAGACGGCCCTGGCCCACGCCCAGGAGTACATCCAGCAGCTTCGAAACCGCACCATCATTCACGCTCTGTGACAGGCTCAGGCTGGCAGTGTAGAGATCTTTAAAAATAAAAGTTAAAGACAAATACTTTTGATGGTTTGTCATTGAATTTTTGGCTTGCATTATGTAACTGAGTTTTATGTGAGTGCTGTATAAGGCTTGTCTATCTGCAGCCCCTGGCAAGTGTGTGTGTGTGTGTGAGAGAGAGAGAAGCTTTAGACACTGGAACAAGCTAGATGCAGCAGGCATTTGTAAGATGTTTTGAAGGGAATGTGAACTTTCTCACTGGTGTCCTGACCATGGTAGCTCTGGTACAGGCCTTGAACGCTGTAGGATAAGAAGCTTGTCCTAATTTCACTCTTCTCTTGAGACCAGGGGAGCTGTGGTGGAGGGGAGCATGGCTTCGTGGTGTTTTCAGTGTAAGAACTTTAAGGCATTTGGCTGATTTTCCTTTGACTATTGATATAGACTACTATGTGAGGGTTTTTGTTTTTTCTTTGTTGTTTTAGCAGCAGCTTGAAATCAGGAGTTACTAAATATCCTAATCTAAAATTCTAAAAATGCTTTAACTTTGAAAGCTTTCTTCTAGTGAATAAAGCCTGTCGTTATGTCTTTCCCATCCACAGTGCTTTTCTGTTATTTATATATCTTCTTTTTTTTTTTTGCTAGTCCTGAGGCTTGAACTCTGGCCCTGGGCATTTTCCCTGAGCTGCTTTTGCTCAAGGCTAGTACTCTACAACTTGAGCCATGCCACTTGTGTTTTTTTCTATTTATATGGTACTGAGGAATCAAACCTAGGGCTTCATGCATGCTAGGCAAGTACTCTACCATGAAGCCACCATTCCCAGCCTTATAGATCTTCGTTAGGATTGGTTTAAGTTTTAAGGTAAATTCAATTACCGATAGAGAACTTAAACCAACCTCCGCGCTGCATTCTAAACTAGGGCAGTAGGTGGTGCTGTACACCTCATTAAGAAAATTTTGAGTGTCCAGTGTTCAACACTACCTGATACCCATTGATGCACTTTTTCATTGACAAGAAGCACTTAGTCCCCAGTCCTAGTCTGATGTGTTTTGAAGTGTTGTATACCAAGGAAGAATCTGGGGTCCTTCTTTACTAAAGCAGACTGGGCCCTATTATAGTGCTTAGGGGCCTTGGGCAGGCTAATTCCATAGATCTGTGTGATACACAAGCTCTTCCAGGTGCTCTATGGCAGAGGACGGCACTCCTAGGTGGTTTGTTTGTGAAGCAGAATGAAGGGTGGGCTTTGAGGGGAATGTATTAATTTGTCATTAGACAGATCTGCTACTTATAGGATCCTCGTTACTTGCCATGCTAGTTATTTTATGGAATTCTTCACAAGAATTAAGTGTTGTTTTTCCACGTTACAGACGAAGAAATGGAGGTGTGCAAAACTCAAATAACATCACAGAGCCACATAGCATGAAAGTAGTGGCACTATGATATAACTGCTTCTGAATTTCTAATTGAAGTTCTTTGCCTTCAATTAATCCATTTTTTGTGGGTTAAAAGGCTTCAGGGAGGAATAAGCCAGACTTTAGGATAGGTTCCTTTTGGAATCAGGGAAATAACTCTGGAAGGGTAAAAGGGAACCTTGGTTCTAATCCTTCCATGCTCCTTAAAAGAGAAGTCTCTGAAAGGTCCCTTTCCCTTGCTGGCTTGCATTTCATATCACGTAGCGAACAAAGTTCGGTGTTCTTTGAAGTCAGCTTTTGGGATCACTGGGAGAGCCAGGTGTGGTGGCATACACCTATAATACCAGCATTTGGAAAACTGAGGTAGGGAGGTGGAGAACTTGGGCAGCATGGCGATACCTACTCTCAAAAAGAAAAGAGGAATTAAGGAATATGTTTAAGAAATGCACATTTCTGAATCCTGCTCTCAGACGAAGTAAACAAAAGTATCTGGGGTGGGGAGACAGCCTGTCTTCCTTCCTTCCCAACTGCTGCAGTGATTGGTGTGTTGGAGGATTCACTGGACTAGAGGCTCTCAGCTCTCCTTCAGCACAGAAGCTTCCTGACTCGGCAGCAAGAGTTTCGATGTCCCTGGTTGTTGAAATAAGCCAGGAGATGGCACGAACATCCTAACAGTGCATTTCATAAGTGAAGATACCGATGCATTCAGGCTCTGGAGACTTGAAAGCAGGTAAGGAAAAAAAGAAAAACGGACCTTGAACATTTTTGTTTTCCGTTTTTCCTTTTGGTGCTACAGATGGAACCCAGGACCTTGTGAATGCAGAGCATGTTGGTTGCGCTGTCCCCAAGTGACACCTCCAACTCCTCTGATCCTGGATTCCAATGAAGACCAGTTGCGTATGAGCTGCGTTAGAAGGAATGATTGATTTGGCTCACAGCTTCATAGGTTTCAGTTCATGATGGCATAGAAGGCCACATCATGGGCCAGAAGCGAAATAGAATGGTAACAGGAAGAGACAAGAGCAAGATTACACCCTTAAGGACACACCTGTGGCCTTCCTCCAATCAGGCCCTACCTCCTATATGTCCACCACTTATCACTTGGCTATTCAAAGTTTGACTCCATCAGTGCATGGAACCATTCATTTATAGTTCAGAACCCTAAGAATGCAGTTATCCCCTAAAATGGCCTCATAAACACACACCCAGACAGGTGTGCAGTGCTAATCTATGTGGTTTATTGGTCCAGTCAAGTTAGTGGTTGAGATTAACCATCACATGACCAAAGGTTAAGTCTTCCTTTGGAACTCCTGAGGTGTTGTAAAGTGTAATAATTACTTGTAATGTTTTAAGAAACTTATGTACAGTATCTTATTTAATGAATCTTCCCTACATAATGGTGGTATAGAGAACATCTGGTTAGTTTTTATGGTTGAATGCACTTTTTTTTTTGGTCGGTGGTGGGCCTTGAACTCTGGGCCTGAGTGCTGTCCTTCAGTGCTTCAGCTCAAGGCTAGTGCTCTACCACTTGAGATACAGCGCCACTTATGGTTTTCTGGTGGTTTATTGGAGATAAGAGTTTCACGGACTTTCCTGCCTGGGCTGGCTTTGAACTGCAATCCTCAGACAGATCTCACCCTCTTAAGTAGCTAGGATTACAGGTGTGAGCCACTGGCGCCCGGCCTATTCCTTGATATTAACACAGCCCAGTACTGATACCTCTTGCCTGTAATCCTAGGAACTGAGGAGGCTGAAACCTGGGGCTGGAGGTTTGAAGCCAACCCAGGCAGCTATATCCTAGATACTCATTTCCCATTAACTAGAAAAAAGTCAGAAGGGAAGGTATGGTTCAAGTGGTAGAACACCAGCCTTAAGTGAAAAAAAAATGAAGTTTGAGGCCCTGATTTCAAGCTCCAGTACCTACACCAAAATAATAATAATAATAATATAGTCACTGCCCAGTGGAAAGGGACAGTAAATGAATCAAGCAAGTGTTAATTGTGTTTCCAGTTACAAACTCAGAGGGACTGGAGACTGGAGGCAGGTATCACAGGATTCTGAAAAATAATGACTCTTTTTTTTGTTTGTCTTGTTTTATTTCCTTAAAGAGACACAATGAGAGGAAAGGGTAAACACAGGAATTTTTAAGGATCAATAAGTTGTTATACCACTTGAGAGGAATTTTTTTTAATGGCATAAACATGAAGGACCTCTTCTTTCCTCCTGAAGATCTTGGTGGGCTGGCCGGGCATTGGTGGCCGGGAGGGTGACATCTGAGGATCAAGGTTCAAAGCTAGCCCGGGCAGACAATTTAGCAGCAAAAAGTCAGAAATGGAGGTTTAGCTCAAGAGTCAAGGTGCTAGCCTTGAGTGAAAAAGCTAAGGGAAAATGGGAAGGGCCTGAGTTCAAGCCTCAGTCCTGGCACAAAAAAGGTCTGTGTGTTCTGTGGGGTGCAGTGTATGATATTTTTGGAGCTGAGGTTCAGCAAACTTTATTCAAAGTTCAGCAGCTAAGACCCAAGGAGAAAAAATTTGTGAAATATACCAAGAACATTGCAACCCCCCCCCCCAAAAAAAAACAACCCAGATATGTTTCCTGGCAAGTGATAAAGAGTAATTCGATGTTTTCCATGTATTTCATCTCTACAAAGCAGTGGTAATAACAATTAGAGTTGAATAAGATGGGCTCCATCACACTGAAGATAATTAAAACAGGAAATAGTTGTGAAGTAGGTGAACATCTAAGCAAATTTTAAAGCCACAGAAAGTGGCACAGGTGACATTACCACTTCTAGAAATGGACCCCACGCCTCTGTCCTAGATTATACTTACCCAGGATCTGATTTCTAGTTGAGAGAGAATCTGGTCTTTATTCTTGTTTTTTTCTTTTTTTTGGGGGGGGGGTCCAGTCGTGGGGTCTGAACTCTGGACCTGGGCGCTGTCCCTCAGCTCTTCAGCTCAAGGCTAGCACTCTACCACTTGAGCCAGAGCACCACTTCCGCCTTTTTTCTTTTTGTTTATGTGGTGCTGAGGAATCGAACCCAGGGCCTCATGCATGCAAGGCAAGCGCTCTACCACTGAGCCACCTTCCCAGCCCATGGTCTTTATTCTTAAACTAGCCTACTGTGAATTTTTAAATGCCTCATTTAGAATATATCTGCTATGATATTACAATACTTTGAATGAGAGAAGAAATATTGGTAGGTGAATTATACTTCATAGTTAAATGATTTTTTTCCCCATTAGAGACTTGAATGAATCATTGTGTTCGCTTACGGGAGAAGGAGGTTCATAAAAATTTCACATCGGAAAGCGAGGGATGGTAATACTGTTATCCAACAAAGTGGAATTTAAGGAAAAAGATTTACTGTTAATGAACTTGAAAGAGTTGCTTAATGTACACGTGGATGAATACATTCTGGAGTCACTTTGAGCGATCTTCTAAACCTCCTGAAGATCACCCCCATGTTTAATTATTGAAGTCTATTCTTACTGCTCTTGTTCACTGTCTCTTTGCAATGTGACTCTGCAGGTCCCCAAGCTACATGGGAGGATCACGGGGCCTAGCTAGTCTGCAGGAAAATTCATGAAACTATCTTCATGGAAGGAACCGCCTAATGAAGCGACTTTCGCCTGTGATCTCAGCGCCCA